CCACAATCCAGGCATTTATACGGCTTCTCCCCTGTGTGGATCCTTCGATGCAATTTAAGGCATGTGCTGATACGGAAAGTTTTCCCACACTCCAAGCATTTATATGGCTTTTCTCCTGTGTGGATTCTTTGGTGTAAAGTCAGGTGTGAGCTCTGACTGAAGCCTTTTCCGCACTCCTGGCATTTGTAGGGTTTCTCTCCAGAATGGGTTCTTCGGTGGGAAATAAGGTGTGGACTCTGACTGAAGCATTTCCCACACACTGTGCACTGGTAGGGTTTCTCCCCTGAGTGGGTTCTCTGATGTGAAGTGAGGGATGCTCTCCAACTGAAGGTCTTTCCACACTCCAGGCACTCAAATGGCTTCTCCTTTGTGTGGATTCTCTGATGGGAAGTGAGGCTTACACTGTGAGAGAAGCTCTTTCCACACAGCAAGCATTTAAATGGTTTCTCTTTTGAGTGGATTCTCTGATGAACACTGAGGTTTGTACTCCAGCGGAAGCTCTTGCCACATTCCAAGCATTTATATTGTTTCTCCTCGGAATGGATTTTCTGATGCAAACTAAGAGCTCCATTACACCTGAACCTCTTGCCACACTCTGAGCACTGGCATGATTTCTGCCCTGTGTGGGTTCTTTGATCAGAAGTAAGACCTTTACTCAGACCAAAGCTGTTTTTGCACTCTGAACTCTTGGATGGTTCCTCCCTCTTATGGATTCTCTGATGAGAAGTGAGGCTTACGAGCCTGCTGAAGCCCTTCCCGCATTCAGAGCATTTGTATGTTTCATCCCCTGCACGAATTCTCTGATGGGAAGAAAAGTTGGATTCACATCGCAATCCTTCTCTGCTTTCAGAATGTTTATTCCTCCTCTTTCCTTTGCCATATTCTTCTTGGGATGGATTTTCAAGGAGGGTCCCAGCCCGGAAAACTACAGACTGATTCCCTGACTTCTCTGCTTTGCTTTCTTCCTGCCTCTTTGACTGTTTTGGATTCCTGGAAGGCTTTTCCTCCACTTCATGGCTGGTCATTTTCAGAAATATTGCGCATCGCTCGCTATATCTCTCCTCCTCCTGCCTGTGACCTGGTGGAACACAGACTTCTGATTAGAAGGGGAAATAAGTGCATAATCTTCAGTCATAACCTAACTAACTTTCCTGCAGAGTTAAGAAAGACCATTTTAATTTGGTTTCTAAACTGGCAATGGGATAAAGGCGACATTGGTGCTCCTCGTCAATGGCTTTCATCCTAAGAGTTCACTGCTTCCCTGTGGATACTTTTACCCCCTCCTGAACAGCAGCCCAATAATATTTAAGTAAGTAAAGGTTCCCTTGCTCGAAAGCCAGTCGAATCCAACTCTAGGGTTGCGGTGCTCATCTCCGTTTCAAAGCCGAAGAGCCAGCGCTGTCCGAAGACATTTCCGTGGTCATGTGGCCGGCATGACTAAACACCAAGGCGCACGGAACGCTGTTACCTTCCCACTGAAGTAGTACCTATTTATCTACTTGCAATTTCTTGCTTTCGAACTGCTAGGTTGGCAGGAGCTGGGACCTAGAGATGGGAGCTCACTCTGTTATGCGGCACTCGGGTCTCGAACTGCTGAACCACCAACCTTCCACAGCCTGCAGTTCAGCGTCTTAACCACTTGAGCCACCACAGCTCCTTAATATTTAAGTACAAAGGTACAAAATGGATTGTATTTTGTTCTCTGATCAACCTTTCTTCTGCACTATCTATGAGTGGTTCATATTAAAAAAACTGAAATAAATGACACCATTCATACGAAAGCTTTAGTCTAAATATTGAAGTACAAAGGTACAAAATAGATTTAGACTAAAGCTTTCATATGAATGGTGTCATTTATTTCAGTTTTTTTAAATATGAACCACTCATAAATAGTGCAGAAGAAAAGTTGCTCAGAGAACAAATTTCAGCACCACAGAAGACGCCACACGGAAGGGTGAGGGCAGAGTTCTGCAGGGGCTGGTGTTCACTGTTAAAATCTAGCTTCACCAGCTCAGCATTAATACAGAGTGGCTTCTAAAAAGTTTTCCTGGTGGCCCATCAATAGAAATAACATTGTCACTGCAAACCTCTTTGAATACCCTGGAAGGGCACTTCCTTCCATATCAGTAGTCTGAAGCTATACAGTTTTCTGGAAACTTATGCCTTTGAAATATTTACAACCGGCGGTTCTTTCTACATTACTAGCCTGAAGCTATTGTTTTCTGGACGCCTTTGAAATACTTAGAACAGTAATTTTCTCGAGGGAGATTATCAAAACGAAGTCTTCAGTATCCAGATTCTTCGCTGGAAAGAACTACATTGGAAAGAGAATGTCATGGAATATTCCATGGTGCATCAGAAGATTCATGTTTAGTATTATTGTGCTTTATTGTGCAAGGATTATATTCATGCACTGCACACGTCGCATCTGTCCAATATATTAACACTGTTACTAGTCCTACTGTGTCCTGCTTCACAGCTTTTATCCATTGTTGTGGCCACTGTGTCAGACAGGATACTGGACTAGATGGACTATTGGTCTCATCCTGCAGGGCTCTTCTTATGTTCTTATGAAGAAAAGGGAATATAGTTTCAGCTCCTTGTTTAACTCTCCTGCTGCTTTCCTGACACCACACAATCCTCTTGTGTACAATTCCCGCCCCCCCCCCGTCTCTCTTGCCACCTTCCCTCCACCAAAGAAGGAGACGGAATCCTGAAAGCTCTATTCTTGTTCCTGCAATGTGGACAGCCCAGAATGAGGAGATCGTTCCAGGTGGGTGGAATCAAGGTCAAGATCCAAGGCCCACAAATCTGCATCAACACTGAGAGGAATGGGCCTGTTTCAGCCTTCCCCTCCCGTTAAAAACTCTTACAAGGAATGAGACCTCAGAGGGTGGCAGAGCCACTGCAGGTATCCCGAGGGTACGTGAGCTCACGGCCCGAGTGATCAGGGCCATTCGAAACATCTAGCGGCCCCCCAAGGAAACTGCTCAACCCCCAGCCAACAAAGAGGCCCATCACGCCTCTAAGCAACCCACCTGCCGACTGCTCCTCTTCTTCGGGGTCTGGGGGAAACGGCGCTTTGCTTTCCTGAAGCCAGGAGATGAGGCCAGGCTTTGGAATCGCTTTGGAGGAAACAAATGGACTAGTTACTACAAGAAATCCAGGCGTTCCTACATAACCTATTTTTCCATTTGCCTTCGAAAAGACCACAAGAGAGAAGGAAAATTCCTAACTCCCAACAGATGAGTATGTAACGGAAACCACCACAGACTCCTGAGAACATTGATCTTCGGGTAGGTCTACTGTTCATGAAACTTGGAGACACACAACAACTAGGAATCCCATTCCGGGGGCCAAGGCAGCCATGTTTCTCTTTAGCCATTCCTCTCTCAGCCCCTTAACTGAGAGGCCCATCCTCAGCGTTCGTTTGTCACTGCCTCCCCCTGCAGAGCAGCCCAGGACTTCCTCGGTAGTCCCCTTGTCGGATATTAATATCCAGCTGTCAGATCATGATGATCTAACTGTCAGCAGGTAAGCTGCTGGAAACTGGTCCTGACCGGTTAAGTCCAGATAAGGAGTGAGGTCAGTGACAATGAGTCAGCACTTAGCTGATTGGATATTGTACTATATATAAGTGGACAAGAGCTGCCGTGTGTATTCTTCTCTCTTGTGATGGTTACTGGCGGAGCACTTTGTCTGAGGACTGTAAATATTGTAAATAAAATCTGTATATAGTTTACCACAGGACTGTCTTGTGTGGTGCTATACAGAGCTGTCTTTGCTGTGGAGTGCTGAAGAGTGGCTGGTGAGTTGGAGTGGCTGAAACAGTCCTAGTGGCTGACCACTGCTTTCTGCAGACTCACAGGCTGTCCTACGCGCGCACTGTGCAACATTGCCTCGCTCTGCAGAGCAACCCAGGACTTCCTCGGTAGTCCCCTATCAAAGTACTGTCTGTTTATATCTTGCTGTTATGTCTTGCATTCTATTTTTACTTATGGAATAACGTCTCTATGGCCTCGGCCACACAGGCAGGAAAATGCGGGGGGGGGAGGCGTGGCTGTTTGCCCCGGAGCAAACTAACGCGCGACTGCGCGATCAGGTGTCGGGTTGAGGTCCCATCGAGCTCCCGTGGTTAGGGGGGAGGTGCTGATCACACGACGCGGCAAAGAAGCGGAGCGGCGCGGCAAACGGGGTTGTGGGGTTTTTTTAAAAACTGAAATGTGCGCATGCTCCGTTGGGTGCTTGTGCGCATCCGTGGAGACTTGGAAGGGGAAAAAACCCTTTTTGCGAGGGGACATGGGCGGGCGCTAGAACTACCACCGGAAACGCGATCAGACTCCCGCCCTTGCCCCGCGGTTTCCGGAAACTAGTACCTCCGAGGTACTAGTTTTTTACCCTGCATCTTCGGCGGGAAGCCTCGGGTGCGCCACGGGAGCTCTACGCTTCCCAGATGTGGCGGTGAGATCGCGCCCGGAAAATCCACCTATCTTCCGTCTCTCTAGCATGTCTAATGCTCCGTGTGACCGGGGCCTTGCATTGTCTGTCCTGCCATGTTTAATACTTAAGCCTAGTTTCAGATTTCTGCTAAACAAGTGCTATTATTATTATCATCATCATCATTGTGTGCCGTCAAGTCCAAGCTACTCATGGTGAGCCCCAGGACCACGGGGTTTTCAAGCCAAGAGATGAGCAGAGGTGGGTTGTCATTGCCTTCCTCTGCACAGTAACCCTTGTCTTCCTTGGGGGCCTCCCAGCCAAGCCCTCCTACATCGCTGATTTACTCCCTCCTCATCCTATGGAAAATACAAACTTACACTGTCATCTGCCTTGAGTCCCAATGAGAAAAGCAGACTATAAATAACATAAAAATGAATCAACAGTGGCAGAAAGCACAGCTTCCACATCTATCAATCAAGAGGGAGCCTTACCCAGAGAGGCCACGTTCCTGTAATTCTCCACCATGACTTCTCTATACAAAGCTCTCTGGTCTGGGTTCAGGTTCAGCAGCGCCCACTCGGCCTTTGAGAAACGCACGGCCACCTCCTCGAAGGAAACTGGACACTGAAAAAGAAGGAAGATACTTTTTCCCTCACAACTGATGTCACCACTAATCCACCCACTCTTGCCCAAAGATGCTTTTGCTCACAATACAGAAAAAAGAACCCATGAAGCAACTCGTACGGAATCAGCCCACTCTTTTATCGAGGTCAGTCCTGTCCGGTCAAACTAGCAGAGGCTCCCCAGAGATTCATGCTGGGGATTGAACCTGGGGGCCTTCTGCATGCCAAGCAGGGTCTCTACCACTGAGCCACGGACCTTCCTCCTCATCCAGACCCTTCATCTCAGGTTCTTGTTACCCCAAGAGGGAAGTTCTACCTTCAAGGAATACTTGACACACCACAGGAAAAACAAGAAAACCTGCCTGGGGAATTTACAGGCATCCCACCTTTTCATTCATGGAAGAATTTCAGTGGGCCGCACGGCCTACTGAATAGGCTGCTGTGTTACCTGGCAGTTCTCAAAAAGCCATGGAAATGCATTTTGTCTATTTCTTTCTTTAAGCATATCAGGCCCCTTTTCTCTATGGAGAAATCTCGGGCAGCTTACAAAAAGGAAAAGGTTCCAAATTACAAAGGTAAACAGAAAGGGTTCCTTCCAGCCCTGCCGGAGGAAAAGGAGGCACCAAGCTTCCCTCCACACATCTCTTCACAGGTGATCCATCCCTTACCTGAGCTGGCTGCATCTTCAGCGTTTCCACTCCACTCCCAAAGAGGAGACGTTCTGGAACCCGGCTCTGAGGCTCTTCCGCGGCCTGTAGGGAGACACATTTATCTTGATTGGTTTACCTCATTTACACCCCATCTTTTTCCCCAAAGGGGACCCAAAGTGGCTTACGTTGGTCTCCTCCCCTCCATTCTGTCCTCACAACAACCCTGTGAGGTAGGTCAGGCAGACAGCATGCAACTGGCCCACAGTCAGCCAGAAACCCTCCATGGCAGAGTGGAAATCTGAACCTGGGCCTCCTAGATCCTAGTCAGATACTCTACCCACTAAACCACACTGGCTCTGAGAGCTGAAGGAGATTCTTACACTCCCTTTGTTTTAAATGAGGAGATATTTCCATCCTTCTAGTCCCTGACTGCCAGAAAGCGGGTCGCCCTGGAGAAAGACACACACAATCTGTGAAGTCTAATTTGAAGCAAAGCAGTTTCTAGAAGAGAAAAAGAGGCCCCTGCTGGGTCAGGCCATTCAGCCCAGCCTCCCATTTCAGACAGGGACTATTCAGATGCCTCTGGGAAATCCTTAAGCAGAGACTGATGCCCCCCCCCCTTTGCCTAACATATTTTAAAGCAAACTGCATTGGCATGTGGAGGTTCTATTTCAGTAAAAAAGAAAAAGTAGCCAGGAGACACAGCAATGTTTCTTCGCAATCTGACAAGCATAACAGGATTTGGCAGGGGGCTCCTGAACTTGTATTCCTTGTTTAGGAATGTTGGCAGGTTCACCACAGGGCTGAGAGAAGCGGCATTTGCCAAAATCCCAACCCCCCTTCTGCACAGTGATGGAAGGGGCAGGAACCTGACCAGGTCCTCAGACTTCCTTTGCATGAAACAACCCTCTCATTTCTCCCTCACACACACACATCCCCCAGTCACAAGCTTTGCCATTCATTCCCTGAAGGAAACAAGACCAGTAGGCATTCTGGGATTTAAAAAAATCTCTTTCTGGTCCTTCATGTGGATGGGAAGGGGACAATTCTCCTTGGAAGAGGTGCACAAAACTGGACAAAGGGGGCCTGTCCCCATTCCCTCCTGTCCAGAGTGACTCCATAGAAATCTACTGGTTCTGACTACACTCAAAACAAAACTATGTTATTATATTTACAGTTGCATTATTTTGTCTTACTAAGAATATTTCCTTTTTGACTGAAATGTCATTACATCTTGCTATCCACTCACTGATTGTCTGACTTTATGGTATTTTGTAGCCAGTTTACTCATTAACTGGAAACCTTTATAAAATCATGCGTTGTAATCCAACAGAAACGCATAACCATTTGTTAACAAAAGAAGGAAAGTCCTAGAAGAGAAGGATTAGGCAGCTGTGTCAGTCTGTTTGTAGCAGAGGAGAAGGAGAAGAAGAATTGGTTTTACACCCCGCCCTTCACTACCCAAAGGAGTCTCAGAACAGCTTACAATCACCTTCCCTTCCTCTCCTCACAACAGACACCCTGTGAGGTAGTTGGGGCTGAGAGAACTGTGACTGACCCCAGGTTATCTTTATGTGGCTAAATGAGGAATCCAACCTGCTTCTCCAGATTAGAATCCACCAGTTTTAACCACTACACCAAACTGGCTCCAAGATCACCTTAAAGACTAACAATATTTGGTGCAGGTGTAGGAGTCACTGCTCACTTCTTCATATACCTGAAACTCTTTGGTAAAGGTTTCCCTTGCTCAAAGCTAGTGGAATCCAACTCTAGTAGCAGTTATTTACCGCTTTATATGCATTATTCATGAAATCACCACTTTCCCTAAATTCCTAAAACTCACTGGAGAAGGGAGGGGGGAATCGTTCAGTTTAGATTGCCAAAAAGATATGTACCATAAAAAAAGCATCGTCACTCACTTAATTTGCTGCTAATGTAATCTGTTAATTTTCTCAGCAAAGCTACATCATGCAAATGCACACTAGGATTGCCAACCTCCCGGTGGCGGCTGGAGATCTCCTGGGATTACAACCAATCTCCACGCAGCAGAGATCCGATCACCTGGAGAAAGTGGCCGCTCTGGAAGGTGAACCCTATGGTATTATACCCCACTGAAGAGCCCCCTCCCCAAACTCCGCCTTCCTCAGGTCCCACCCCTCAAATCTCCAGGTATTTCCCAACCTGTATCTGGCAACGCGACAATCCCGCACGATCCTTCATTGGCTTGCACTTGATTTGAACTCTTCCCGGCCCGATTTCTATTTTTCTCTTGCTTTCGTTGCTCCTCCCCACAAAAAACAACCCCCCTAAACTGCACCTTCCAAGTAGGCCTTCGGAACGGAACCTCCAAAGTGCCTGCAAAGGTTTGTTGGGGAAAGTGTGGAGACAGGAAGGTGCAACTGCAATAGCTGGCCCCCCTCCCCAATTTCCTTCCTCTCTAGGACTCTCAAATTCGCTTGTTTTAACCCCTGGATCACCCGGAAGCTCGGCCTCTTACGGAAGATTCGCCAAATCAGGGTTTACCCCCTCGGCTGGGGAGCTGCTTTTTTGGAAGAGAAGCCAGCAAGGAGGAGCGGGGGAAACTACGGTCTTGTCTGCACCGTGAGAAACGGACCTGGGATTTTCCCAAGCGGGCTAGCAGCAGCAGCAGCACCAAACACACACACCCCGTAGCTGCAAAATCTGTTGGGAACTGTATTTGGATGGGATGGGATGGGATGGGGATGGGGGGAGCAAGGCCCAAATTTTATTTTTTCGGATTTAGGAAAGATTTATAACACGCGCTGCCCACGGTCCCCCTCCCCGTCGGCCGGTACATTCCCTCCTCCCATAATATGCAATCTCATGAGCCTTGGGGGAAAAAAGTTTGCTTTAATTGCTGAAGTTACTCTTCCATGTACTGCATGGCTGAAAAGCGCCCTCCTTTGCGGGTTTGGTGTAATAACAACACCCGCCCGAGATTGTACACGTTTGCTTTTTGGTAACTCGTTGGGTCACTAAAAAGGGATTATATCCTGTCCACAATGTTCCCTCTAAACTGAGTTAGTGTGAGCTAGCTCACAGTTTTTTAGCCTCCAGCTCAGACATTTTCATCTTAGCTCAGGAAGGAGGGCTCCAGAGCAAACAAATTTATGCAGGAGCCAAATCGCTCGCTCACAACTTTAATGCCAGCAGCTCACAAAGGAGAATTTTTGCTCACAAGACTCCACAGCTTAGAGGGAACATTGCCTGTCCGTCTCTTGATCTTGTTTCATGCTCACAGATCAACGCAGCCGCGAACCTTAGGCCGCGCGCCTTTTTCACTTCACTTACCTATATTTTAGTGCCCGCAAATCCCGCCGAAAGAAGCAGCAGGGCTTGCTCTTGCTGACTTATAGAACATTGTTTTGCCCTTCCCACCAGGTAATCCTCCCTCCAGGCGATGCACAGGGAACTCTGGGAGTTGTAGTAAGATGAGTACCACCAAAAAGAAAGCCCTCTTTCCCGCTATTAGACATGGCCTATCCGATAGACCCTGTCAAATGGGAGAAAACAGGGCTTCCTAGTCCTCACTAATACTGAGTACTGGTACCTTTTGGGAAGGCTCTCCCAAGCCCTATGGGGTAATTGCGGGAAATCAGTGCAACTTTATATATGAGTTTTGGCACTTTTAAAAAACAACAACACGAAAAGCCCTGGGGAAAACAAACCTCCCTGTTTTTCAGACTCATGCAAACAGTCTGGTTAACCGCACTCCCTCTGTTCAAGAGAAAGGCCTCTGAGGCTGGGTCCAGAAGGTTGCTTGAGACTGTTGTGGTATTACAGCGGGGGG